CCCCCCCCCCCCCCTTCCAAAACAATAATTTTATTGCGGACATAGTAAGAGAAAAGAGAAAAAAAACAAGTGAGGCAGTTGCCGACCGGTCGGCAGACGGCCTACAGGTCGGGCCGACCGGTAGACGACCGGTAGACGAGCCGACGGCCTATGGTTGACGTCGGCCGTAGGCGGTCTGACAACCCTGCCGCCAAAACCAATCAAGAAACACATTGAACTTGATTGAAGTTACTTGGAAAGTTAGGACTAAAAGTGAGTCTAGCTTTTCAAGTTTCAACAGAAAATCCAGTGTTTTTACTACTTTTCACTCCCGAAGAATTCACCATCGTACAGGATTTGAACCTGTGACCTCCAACTTGGAAGGTTGTTGCTTTTTTGGACATCAAGGGATACTGCTTCTCATGGTTATGATCAAAATATCCAGAGAGTCGCACAGAGTCCAGAAGCTGCAATCCAGATAACAGACAATTGTATGTCCGGGTTAATTAGACACATAATTGTCACAGATCTTCATCTAGTTCCATCTGGATTCGAACACAGGTCTGTATTTCAACAGTTTGTGGACGTACCAACTGAGCTAGGCTGATTGATGCATATTGTCACATATCTATCTACTAAAAGAGCGCAAGGCAGACAAAAAAACTTACTCAAAAAAAAAACAAAAAGAGTAAATCGAAGGCTCAAAAAAAAAAAAAAAAGGCCGGTGAATTTGCAACACAAACAACAAAAGCACCGAACGCAAACATGAAGAGCACACACTGAAACCGTTCTTGTGATCATTTCTTCTTTCAGCTCCACTTTTACTGTGCCTCTCACGTAAAAGGCTCGCCGCATTGATGAAGTTGAGCATGAACTGCCCACATCCCCGTGTGCCATAGCGGCCCACTTGTACGTTGCGAGCTGCTCGGTCAACCGGAGGCAGAAAAGGAGCAAAGGACATGAAACAGGGGGCTGTTCGAGACCTCACTCGGTGACAGAACAGAACAGTTTTAGGCTGATTCCCTTAAGGCTCCGCACAGGACAATTCTTACTACGGGATGTCTTAATTCTCCGCGGTATGGTCACCAACTCATCAGGAGCCTGAACCCTCTACAGTCTGCCAAGTCCCCTAACTACTACGGGATGTCTTAATTCTCCTCGGTATGGTCACCAACTCATCAGGAACCTGAACCCTCTACAGTCTGCCAAGTCCCCTAACTACTGATAGTAGCCTGATACTGTTAGTAATAATCCACCTTCACCGCGGTTGCTACTGAGCATCAACAACTGCGCCACAACTGATGCCCTGAGGGCACCCCGACCACTGCCCTCGCGGGTGCCCATGACGAAAATCAAACCAGACTATCACTCACCCACACCATACGAAAGATTCTATGGACCGCAGGTTCACACCCCATCGCAAGCCAGCGATGGAGTGCAAACCCCCCCCAACGAAACAAAGAAAGTTCTGTCACAGCCAGAAGATACACTCCAGACACACCGCTGGAACTAGAGGCACAGCCTGGCCACGTAGTGACGGCCCTCTCAACTTTGCCAGGCTGCCTCATTTCTACATCAAATACAACTACAGGGTCCGCAGACTGTAGAGGTTTCAACCTCGTGTAGAGGGTTCGGTCTCCTGTAGAGGGTTCAGTCTTCTGTAGAGGGCTCAACCTCCTGTAGAGGGTTCAGTCTCCTGTAGAGGGGTTTTTTTTTTTTTTAACTACGCTTCATTCTTCTCTCAAGTATACCTCGCACTACCTACTCCTTATGACTAAGCACCCCAGCAACCGAAATGTATGTGTCCTAGGGAACTGATCACACCAGCACCCGAAACTTATTAGGCCTACCGTCCTCACCCGAATACAACGTATGGTCATTATAGCTGTATTTGGGCAAATTTGAGTCTCGATACAGAATTAATGACCGTACATTGTATTCAGAACTAAGCACACCAGCAACCGAAATCTAAAAGACCAAGGAACTGAGCAGCCAAAAAACAAAATCTACAAGACCTTCAGCCTCCCGATTGTCAGGCTGCCTGATTTCAAATTACGCCACATTGCCGGGCTGTCCAATATCACCAGTTTACTCTGTACTTATTGAGGCTGTATATATTTGGAAGCACTACCTACCAAAACCTCTCTGGTTAATCCCCTATAAGGGCCTAGTTGCACGACTCGCCATCCACCAACATTTTGAATGCATCAGGACAGCTCCCCTGTTAAGATTCATTCAGAAATTTGGCGGATGGCGAGTCGTGCAACTAGGCCCTTAACAATCCTTTCCGCTTCACCTTCATAAGCTGATAACTCACTGCTCTTTTTTTCGTTTCAAACTCATGCGCACTTCCCTCCTTTGTGGCCATGCGCCTCTATATGAGGCCATTGATTGCTTCCACGGTAGGCAGGACTTAACCATGGGATTTTTATTTTTATATTTTCCCGGAAAACCAGTCTCCTCGCTAGGAGAGGTGATGAGAGCAACCCCCCAAGCAAGAATCCCGGATGCTCCAGTCTATTGGTGGGGAAGGGCACGTGCTGGAAAACGGGTCCAGCGTCCCTTTACAGCAAGAACCTGCCAGCATTGATTGTCCTGTTACGGGGATTAACTGCGCAGGTATTCAGGTAGTTAAAACTTAAAAACAAAGAATATACTTAACCATGTTACTCCCTTTTTTTCTTTTCTTTTTAATTACTCCCTTATTCTGTTGCCAAAAAAACAGCCTACTTTTGGAAACCAGCTAAATCCTTTCCCTATTTAGCTCCTCTCAGCCCTGAATGGCTACCCAATTCTTCTTTGTCATCTCTTAGATCTACAATCGAAAGCAGTTTCTACATGTTCATAGAGTTATAGGTGGTAATACTTGTGCCCTATCCTAGCACTTAACAGATCTTTCTCTACGATTTTAATTTTTAATCAATCCCTGACATACTCCGCTTCAGGTAGTTGCATGACGAGCCCTCATCCTTGTGTGAGGGAAGAAAAGGAGCAGAACAAATAAGAGAGGAGAAGAGGGAAGAAGAGGAAAGGAAGAAGAGGGAAGAAGAGGGAAGAAGAGGGAAGAACGGCACAAACAGAGAAAAGAAGAGAGGAGAAAGGAGGAGAGGAGATGCGAGTACAAAGCAGAGAAGAGAAAAGAAAAGAACAAGAGAGACGAGAAAAGGAGGAGAGGAGAGGAGAGAAGAGAAGAGAAGAGAAAAGAAAAGAAAGCGAAAATACATAAGCAGCCTAATGTGCAGAAGAAAAGAGAAAGAAAAGGAAGAAGTAAAAACAAAGAGTACCCCAGTATGTTTGTGTATGGAGCCCACAGAGCCCTGAATTCTGACTGAATTGATCTGGAACTCAACACCTGGCAGAATGCCCAAAACTCCGCCAAATGGGATTACCAGGGGCCGAATCAGATATCAGGCTTTTCATACCACATTTTCCCCATTACTACTACAGAAAACATTCGCTTCTGCAAAATGCCTGACGGTTTAACGGTTAAGCGTTCACGCTTTAGGGTTAGGGTTCAGGGTTTAGGGTTTTAGGATTGGGGTTTTAGGGTTTAGGGTTTAACGCTAAGCCCCCCACAAAGGCCCCTCCCCTTCAAAGAGGCCATCCAAATGGCACAAACCCAAGTGTACGCAGCACACAAAAACACACACAGACACACACACACACACACAGAGAGAGAGAGAGAGAGAGAGAGAGAGAGAAAGAGAGAGAGAGAGAGAGAG